GTCACTGGGTCCAGGACTGGAACTGCAGTTGGCCATGTGAGAGTCCAGCAATGTAACTGCTATGTCATCTCCTGGCCCCATTTTTTTATAATATGTATTTTGCGTGAACTTTTTGAAGACCCTGCATGTAGTGTTTTTATAGCCATTTGATTCTGATTTGATATTTTGCATTTTCATTGCCTCTGTAATCCAAATATTTCATTTTAAGAAATTTTTTCAAGAGTATAGAAATGGGGGGGAGCATAGCTTCTGATCGATATCTACATTTGTTGTATTGCTACAGTGACCTGCGAAGTAAACTTGCATTTGAAGAAATGCATCTGAAAATGGTTAGAAAAACTCTGGTCTACCTCAAGTTCACACCTTTGTACTGATAAATTGAGGCTCCAGTAAACTCATGGCAAATGGACGATTAAAAGACAGATTTGAAAACCCTTGATCTAGAGATCTTTTACCACTCGGCATCTCAGCTCAGCACGGCTCCCCAGAAGGGCATTTCCATCTTTGACCAGACCTCTCTTTCTATCCAAAGCCTGGACTCTGCCATCACCGCTTCTGATCGAGATCCTCCCTTAGTGGGGCATCCTGGCTGGGTGGGGCCTGTGGCTCAGGCTCTGCTAGTGAGAACTGGAAGACACGCATTCTGACTCACACCCCAGCTCTCCACCCCTCAGCCCATCCCTGTCTCATTTGCATTCATTTATTATCTAGAGGAGGAGGAGGAGGAGGAGGAGGAGGGGGGATGATCGTAGGGCTGTTGGAGAGACACGGGAGATCCCAGGAAACCCCGGGACCTGAGGGACATCCGATTAGACTGGTGAGGACCAGAGGTTCTGGGACTCTCCAGGAGAACCGTGTCACCCGTCGGGCACAGCGGCCCTGCTTCAGGTCCAAGTGGTGATGTGAGGCGCGATGTAGGGGAGCCGTGTCCCATAGGACCCCACTATGCTTGGTGCCCATGGGGACGGGGGTCTTCGGCTTACTGGGGGGGCAGGACCTCAACTGGAACCTGGGGAGCAGAGGGGCGGACCTGAGGCCCTGGGCCGAGCAGGGGCGCCCACTCTGCGCTGGGCATCTCTGCGCAGGCGCGTCAGGCTGAGCCTAGGCTTCGACGGGAAAGGACCGAAGCTCGGCTGCCCGGGGTTGGCGGGCCGCGAGGTGCAAGGAAAAAGGCCGACACACACGTGCATTAACCAGGACGTTTATGGCCTCGGGCTCTGCCACAGCTCGGCAGCTCTGAGGAGCTGCCCGGCCCTAACCTAGGGTGGGAGCAGGTCCGCTCAGGGCAGAGCCGGGAGGGGGCGCAGGGTCTGCGTCTCCGGAGGTCTGGTGGCCAGGCTGCTACTCCAGGGCTGCAGGGGGAGGACGAGGAAAGGGGGAAAGAGGCCGTCATGGAGGGGGAGGCCCAGCCCCCAGTGGCCCCCTTCCCACTGCCCTGCCCAGTCCCCACCTCCCCGCCCCACCCGCCCACGCTCAGCCTGTGCCAGGTTCAGGTTCAGGAGGGTGGCGGTGGTCCTCGGAGGGAGGGAGGTTGACTGTGAGAAGAGAGACAGGGTGAAAAGGGATGGCGAGGCTGGGGGTGGCCCTGCCAGAGAGCAGCACTCCGCCCTAAGCCTGACCCAGAAGCTCGTGTGCTTGTGAGTGGATGAGGGGGGCGTGGGGGCCCTGAGAGTGGTTCGGTCCCTGATCCTGGGTCTGAGGGGCAGGCACCCTTCCTGACTCAGAGGACATGGCTCCTGAGAGTGCCCGGTCTGACCCAGGAGGCAAACCTCAGGACTCAGGAGAGCAACTTAGTCCTGTGTCCTAGAGCTCCTTGCCTGGTGGGTGACACCGAGACCTCTCCAAGGGCCATGGTCTCTGGGACATCTGTGGTGGCTTGGACTGATGGGGAAGACTTGGGCCCTCGCTCTGGGAGATCCCAGCCTGACGGAGGAGACATGGCCCTAGTCCCTGACTCTGGGAGCTCCCAGCCTGACGGAGGAGACATGGCCCTGACTCTGGGAGCTCCCAGCCTGATGGAGGAGACAGAGTCCCTGTCTCTGGGAGCTCCTAGCCTGATGGAGGAGACATGGCCCTAGTCCCTGACTCTGGGAGCTGCCAGGCTGAGGGAGGAGACAGAGTCCTTGTCTCTGGGAGCTCCCAGTCTCATAAAGAGACAGGGTCCCCAACATCTAGAAACTCTCAATCTAGTGGAAGAAACCTAATTCCCCCACCCAAAAGCCTCCATCTTCATAAAGGAGAGCATCCGTGTTCAGCCTGGGAGATAAGCCCCACTGCCTACGGTAACCTGCCTGTCCTCTGCCTGCTGCAGAAAGGTGACACATGACCCCTGTGGCCCAGCGTCTCCCAGTCTGAATAGGGAGGTGTGACTCAGACCTCCAGTCTGCTAGGGGATGCTGTTTCCCCAGCGTGGTGGGACAGCTGCTATCCCGTCTTAGGGCCCACCTGTCTGCAGGGGAAAGGAAGCGGGTCCTCAGACCGCGCCCCCTCTGGGAGCACCGTCAGTCTGGAGTAGCGCTTAGTGAGAGCGCGCGGTGGTCACTTTTAGCAGCTCCCCGCCGAGTGGAGGGGCCTGTGTATACCTCGTCTAGTTCGATAGGAGAGGAAAGAGCCCCATGACCCCCGAGTCAGGTGAAAGTCAGGCCCTTTCCTTCAGTCTGATGAGGGAGACGGATCCACCTTTGGCCTTTGCCCTTAAGGAGGGGTCAGAGGCCCACGTGGGACTCTGTGGCCGAGTCCCCCGCCCCACTCACGGGCCACCTGCAGCTCCACCTCCAGCGTGTCGGTCTTGCCCTGCAGGGTGACGGTCTTGAGCGTGTAGCGGCCGGCGTCCGTGAGGTTCAGCTTCTGCACCAGCAGCGAGCAGTTGGCGAAGCCCACCTCGCGGCCCGTGTGCGCCGGGCCTGCGATCCAGTTCCCGGACGGCAGCTGGCTGAGCAGCCGGCTGGGCTCGGAGGCGGGCCCGCGGTACCAGGCGTAGACCAGCAGGTCCTTGGGGTAGCCCTGTACGGTCAGCGTCACGTCCTGGCCCTCCGTGGGCTTGCTGGGCACCGGCACGATGGTCATAGCGACTGCCGCCGCTGGGGAGAGAGGACGGCGCTGGGTGGGCCGGGCCTCACCGGGCATGCGTCCCCCTCCCCCCCTGCTGGCAAATCTGTGCCTCCCCCCCTGCTGGCGGGTGCTCCCCTGTGGGGTGCTGGGAAGGAGACAGAGGAAGGAGGTGACTTGGGTGGTGGGGATGGTGGCTTCTGTGACCCAAGAGTTCCTGCTAGGGATCTGTGTCTCCCCTGTCAGACTAGGAATTCCAGCCTCTGGGGGTGTCTCTTCCGTCAAACTGGAAGACCCTGGAGGGCCGGGCCATGTCTCCTCCATCAGATTGGAAATTCCAAAATATAGGGACCATGTCTCCCCTATCAGATTGGAAATTCCAGAATATGGGGGCTGTGTCTCCCCAGTTAGGTGGTTGGAAGTTATGCACCCCCTAGGTCATGTCTCTTCTGTCAGAAAGCAGACCCCAAAATGTGGGCCTATAGTTCCCCCATCAGGCTGAAAAATTCTAGAGGTGGGAGGCCATGTCTCCTCCATCAGATTGGACATTCCTGTAGGGTGTGGGGGGCTGTCTCCTCCATCAGACTGGGCAAGTTGTCGGGCTGGTGGGGACTTCAGAAGTTGAGGAACATGTCTCTCCCATCATATGGGAAATTCCTAGAAAGTGGGGCCTTGTACTCCCCCATCGGACTGGGAGCACCCCAAAGGTAGCCACACGCTCTGTCTCCGCCATCTGATAGGAATTCTGAGACAAACAGGGCCGTGCCTCCCTCTCAGGACAGAAGTTCTCCCCAAGCCCAGACTGTCTCCTCCATCTGACTGACAGCTCACTGAGGGTGGGCACCATGTCTCCCATCTCTGCGCGGCAGCCCATGGGAGAGGAGGCCTTACTGCTTTTGTTTGATTGGCAGCCTCCTTGAATAAGAGGCCATGCTTCCCTGTTCCAGGGCCATCTCCCCTTGGCCCGAAACCATGTCTCCTCCATCAGATTAGAGTCTCCCCCCAGGTGGGGAAAGGGTGGTGTCTCCTCTCCTCTGTCCCTTCCTGGTACTCGGCAAAGAGTTGCTGACAATCTGGAAGCTCGTGGGGGCTTCATATCCACCCCCCTACACACATACCTGCACACCTTGGCCACCCCCCATGCTGGCCTGCCCAGGCAGGGCTCAGGAAGTGCCTGAGGTCATCTGGTCGACCCCCCTGACTCCTGCCAGGACCAGCTTGCCAAGACCCAGGTGGGGTGGGGAAGGTGGTACACTTACCTCTGGGGATGCCATTTCTGCTTTGGGTGAAAGAGTATCCACCCTTGGATGAGACCCAGCCTGTTAGCGGGAGGGAGGGAGGGAGGGAGGGGAGGAAGGACTGTCCCCAGGAGATGAGGGCTACTTGGGAAGGAACCAAGGTGGAATGAATGAGGCCCTAATGTTGAAAGCCAACTTTCCCAGGGGATGAGAAGATATCTCAATGGCGCCCCCAAATGCCAGCTGCCTGGATTACCCAGCCCTGGGCCTTCTTAGGACAGAGGCAAGAAGACAGTGCCTCTGGCTGTTTCCATCAGCTGTCACCTGGGCTAAATAACCCGGAACCTAGTTGGCTGCAGGGCAGTTCAGCTGTCTGTGTGGCAAAAGTCCCTGAGCAGCTGGTGACTGGATTTAGAGCAGGGGCACCCACATGAAGGAAATCTGAATGGTTTCCCACCCCACCACCCCACCACATGGGACATGTGATCCATTTCCCACACTGTCACCCTCAAGAAAGAGAGTCTGATTTGCCATTAGTTTTCCAGGTGACAGGGCAGGGACCGTCTCTGTTACCACCTTGGTGAAGTGGGGTTCACCTTATGTGCCACTTTGTCCCTTGGCCAATGGATGGACTGGGAAGCCACCATTGGTCCAGTCATCTGTTGGGCAAGTGGCACTCTACCCTGATGGGTCTCCCTGGGGTGGGGTGGTGGCCAGGCTGAGGGTGACTCACCAGTGAGCTTGACCACCACAGAGGCAGAACCAGACAGCAGGGTCTTGGGGTTCTTGGCGATACACGTGTACGTGCCCTCCTGGGCCGCCGTCATGCTGCTGATGTTCAGGTGGTCTTGGCCATTCTGAAGGGCCCGCCCGTTGAAGGCCCACACGTACTCGGGCTCCGGACAGGACCGGGACACGCACCACAGGGTGAGGGACGTATTGAAGTCGACTTTGATGGTGCAGCCTGTGCGGGCAGTGGAGTCCTGGAGGATGGCCACGCGCTCTGGGCCAACTGTGGGGGCAGGAGGGAGAGACACGGGGCAGTAGAGGGGGATGGGAGTAGAGGCAGGCACCCCAGCTCCCTCTCCACCAGACTGGGTTCCTGGGAAGATCTGGGCTGGTGCAGGGGAGAAAGAGCTCTCGCCTTTTCGGACCCCACCTTCAAGTCTAACTGGCCCTAGCGTCTTGAGATTCACTTCCCTTTCCAGTTTTCTCTTCTGTGAAAAGAGTATGGTGGGCCAGGGAACATTTCCTGGAATTTTTGAAAGCTGTGACTCCATTAAAAATAATAAATAAATAAAAAGTCTAAATGGTTTTTGTTTTCTGACAAGCCATTCTACAAGTCTAGAATTCTAGAGCTTCAAGAGTGAGTGCTTCTAAGTTCTAGGATTATGGGATTCTAGAAATCAATGTTTCTAAAGAGTCTAGACTCTAAGATTTTAGAATCATTCTAAGCATGTCTGCTTCTAGAGTTGCTAGGCTTCTCAGAGTCTAGAAGTCAGTGCTTTCGAAATCCAGAAGTCTCTGCTCGAAGGAGTCTAGGATTCTAGGCTCTACGTTTTTCTATGTTGTTGACCTGATGTACCTTGGTAATTCGTTTTCCCAGGATTCCACACTGCGTGCCTCGGCAATTCGTTTTCCCAGGATTCCACACTGCGTGCCTACTGCCCCGGGGATGACTGTGTGCTTTGGTTCTGTTTTTTTTTTCTCATGGTCTCTCCCACCCCTCCCCTTCCTCCCCCCACCCCTGCTCCCTTGCAAAGCCTCTGGGTCCTATGGTGCTGCTTCCAGTGTGAGGGTTGATTAAAGGTGGTCTGTGTGCTGTAGAATATGAATCAAGTGACTCTTAAGAAGGAGCCCAGTTCCTAAGCCCAGCTGGCCTGCCGACTAGCTGTGTGCCCTGGGGCCCCTCTTCTGGCCTCAGTTTCCCCAGCCATGAGGTTTGGGCCAGGAGGACTCACAGTACACCGTCAGGTTGAGGGGCTGGCTGCGGCTGACGCTGACTGGGTTCCACACCTCACACTGGTAGGCTCCGGCCTCTTCCCTGCGGATGCCGTGCCGGGTCAGCACCCGGCCATCCGGGGACAGGCCGAGGCGGATGGCAATGGGCAGGGCCTCGCCGTTGAAGAACCAGCGGACCTCGGCCGGGCTGGGGCTGCTGCACACCAACCGCAGGGTGTCTCGGCGCTCCACCAACTCTGTGCTGTTGGTCATGACCACGGGCGGGGCCAGGATCTCTGTCGGGCGAGAGACAGGGGGAGGGGGCCAGGCACCAACTGCTCTGAGGGCCTCCCTGCCCCAGATGAGGGGCACAGCCCTATCTTGGCAGTGCCCCTCAATCCTCAGCTAGAGGGACATAGAAGGAATGTAGGAGGCAGGTCTAATCCTGGAGACCATCCTGAAGGAGGTGAGCATTTTAATGTTATTTGATGCCTTCCCCTTTCTGATAATTGGAACGTTTTCTTCCTGTTTTTTTTTTTTTTTTAGAGGAGGAGCAGGGAGGGCCTGGCTGGGGTACAGGGGTGCGGAGAGGGGTGTCTCACCATAGACCTGCAAGTGTCCGTAGCCCACCTCGGTCTGAAACTGCCTGTTGAGTGTCTGCAGGATGTAGGTGCCCGAGTGCCTGGGCAGGACGCCCTGGATGTCCAGGCTGCCGTCGGGGCGCACGGCCTCCCGCCCCGTGTGCGCTGGGCCGGGGGTCTCGTCGCCTGTGCTCACGATGTAGCTGGCCACCAGGTGAGTCAGGCTGAGCGTAGGCCCCGCGTACCAGCTGTAGGCCAGCAGTTCCCCCGAGAGCCCGCGGACGACCAGCGTGACGTTGTCCCCCTCGGCCGGCTGGGCAGGCTCTGGGGTGACGGAGATCTCGGCCCTGGCATTCAGGAACGTGGCTGAGGGAGAGGAGCCAGAGGGGTCTCATGTGGCGGCTTTGACTGATTCCCAGGGTGACCGGGGGCAGGATCAGGCTCAGAGAGACGACGTCTGCAGCCCAAGGTCCTCCGTGTACACAAAGACGGGCAGAGCCAGCTTTGAACCTGCAGCCCTCTGACCCCCAGACTCCTAGCCGCTTCGCCTTCATAGCGGCTCTCGCGAGGCTTTGGGGAGACGGTCTCGGTGCACGTGTCTGCTCGGCTGTCACGTGGGGTAGGATACCTGCCTCCTAGGTTGTGGCAAGGGCTCCGCCCACATAACGGCTTGGAAGGGTGCCTGGCATCCAGCAAGTGGGGTGGGGTCGGGGGTTGAGGGGAGGTTGCGTGCTGTGAAGACTGACTCTGCTCCCGCGGGTCACCTTGCACAGAGCCAGCGCGAGCGCCCAGCCTGCAGGACCTGTGCTTTTCCCGGCGCGAGACTCCCCAAACCGAGCCTCAGGGGACGGAGCTGACTCAGTGGACCCAGCTACGTCCCTGCTCCCGCGGTGCGGTGCGGTGCGGGGGCGCCCTGGGGCTCACTCCCAGTCCAGGGCTCCTCCTCTGCCTCCTCCAGCTCCACCGCGGCTGGAAGGAGGGGTGCTGCTAATCCACCCCTTTCTGTCTCCACCGAACAGGGAAGCCCTGAACCTGACGAGCTGGTCAGGGCCACTTGGGTCCGGATCATGTGTGGCCACCCGGAAGGGGGGGCTGGGGTAGTTCTCACGTGAGAAGTACTTACACGCCTGGCCTGGTTTCTGGTACTTTCCAGGCTGATCGAGCATGGCTAGGAGTGAGCAGCTGTGGGCTTAGCACTCAGCCCTGCCACTGTCTCTGCCTCTGTGTGACCCTGGCCAGTGACTCTGCCTCTCTGAGCCAGTTTTCTCGTCTAGGCAGTGGGGGTCCTGATTGGGCCTCACCTCATGAGGTTTAAAGCACTTAGAGCAGCCCCAGGAGTACAGACGGCACTGATCGGTACTGCTTATGGTGACCTCAGAAGCCCCTGCCAGTGAGTAAGCTGAGGCTGGGGCCGGAGGGCCACTGCCCAAGCTCCATCCTCAGGACCGCCGAGCTGTTGGTCAGGATGACGCTAGTTCAGGCCTCCCCAGCTCCAGAAAGGTTCACCACGTGAATGTAAGAGTATTTAATAGAGCCTCCCCTACCCTGGTTCATGTCCTGCTCTTAGAAATGTCCAAGGCCCGGGACCAGAAAGTGGCATGGTGGTTAAGGGTGCTGGATTCCCACATGGCTGACTGAGGTTCGAGTCCCAGACCTGGTGGTTTGCTTTCTTATTTTCCTTCTCTTTCTCTCATTCTGTCCCTCTCTGGTCAAATTAAAATAAATAAATAAATAAAGTTAAATAAGGTAATTCTTAAAGAAAACAAAACAAAACCAAAAAAGAAAGGAAAGAATATTTAAGGCCCACCCCGCAAACAAACCTGTCAGGGGACTGCCCCGGCCTGCCCCATGCTGGAGCCTTTTAGACACACAAACTGTGTCTGTGAGAAGCAGAGTTGCCCTCCCTACCCAGCATGCTGGATTTCCCGCTCCCAGGCTGGGGGTCCCCTCCCCTCCCTGAAGCCCTCATGGGGTGGAGGTGTTAAGGGGTGCTTTTCTCGCTCACCACTGAGGAAGAGCCAGCTACACCGGGTCAGCACCATCTTTCGCCCCAGACCGGGTCTCGAAGACACAGGCATTGGAGTCCCAAGCTCGGAGGCCCTTCCTGGTTGGGTCCTGGCTCCGTCTGCTGCCGGACCTGAGAGGGTTCGGTGATTTGGAGCCTGGGGAGAGCACCTGAATTTGGAGGGATCGAGTCACCAGGATCTGGGGCCCTGTTTGGGCACCTGGGTGGGTGTGGCAGGCACCGGCCAGGGGCCATGACCTGGCCAGGCCTCCTGGGGCAGCTGCCTCACCTTCTTTGTGCCGAAGGCCCCAATTTGGTACTGGGAGAAGAACCAGGTCGCTGGGAGGAGGAAGGGGGTGCAGGTGAAGATCCTGGGGCAGTTCCTCTAACCACCGGGGCTTGCGCCCTACCTGGTGAGCTTGGGGGCCATTGAGGGATAAAGCAGCAAACAATGCCTATGTGTAAACAACGCTTCAACCTCGGGGCGGCCACAGGTGTCATCTCGGTGGACATCAGAACAGTCCTGTGAAGTGGGCACCCCCATTTGCCGATGGGGAAACTGAGGCTCTGGAGAGAACTCTGACTCGCTCATGTTTCTGTAGGGTGTAAATGGGCCAGGAGGTGGAGTGGTGTTTTGGGTGCCGGAGTCCCACATGGCCACGGTTTGAGTCCCAGACCTGGGGATTATTTTCTCTCTCTCTCTCTCTCTCTGGTGAGTGTTACCCTATAGCAAATTTAAAAATATTAATAACATGGGAACAGCAGATGGCATAATGGTATGTCACTAGACTCCCATGTGGTTGACCATGGTTTGAGTCCCAGACCCGGTGGCTTAAAACTCATTTTGGGGGCCAGCAGGTGGTGTGGAGGTTAAGGCGTTGGACACTCCCACATGGCTGACTACAGGTCGAGGCGCAGACACGGAGGCTTGCTTTCTCTCTCTGTCTCTCTCTGGTCAAATTTAAAAATAAAAAATAAATGAATAAATAAAAATTTAAAAAACAAAACAAAAAAAGAACTCATTTCAAGCTTGTGTGCGTGCATGCCCAAGATACTGAGAAGAGAATGGAGAAGAGATTGTGGCGTGGCCATCCCCCTGGAAAATGATTTCTCGCTTTCTATGTCTCTTTCTGTCTTTCTGGCGAGCGCACGCTCCCTATAAAAACAACCTCTCCAAAAAAAAAAAAAAAGAAATGGTTAAATTTTGGGGGCCAGCAGGTGACATGGTGGTTAAGGCACTGGACACTCCCACATGGCTGACCGCAGTTCGAGTCTCAGACCTGGTGGCTTGCTTTCTCACTTCCTCTCTCTCTCTCTCTCTCTCTCTGATCAAATTAAAATAAATGAATGAATAAATAAAATTAAAAATTACACGTGATTCTTAAAAGTTTGTTTATATTTTTCATGACGGTGAGAGAGAGGCAGCACTTCAATGGGGTCTCCATGCCACGCTTCACCTGGACGACAGGCATGCATGTGTGCACGATGTGCTCAGAGGCTCCTGGGCGTGACCCCGGGGCCTTCCCCACGTGGGTCCAGCTGCGTCACTGCTGTGCCACGGCTGCCGTGCATTGGACACCTATTTAGTGAGCAGCTACTGTGGGGGCGGAAGGTGCAGCAGTGACGAGACGGCGGCAGTGGTGCCCCGGCCGACGTCCCTGCGGAAGACAGAGACGTAGCACCTATTCCGTCAGCTGGGGATGCTGGGCTAGAGGTGGGGCTGGCCTGTTCCGTGAGGTCAGAGGGCGGGTGTTAGGGAGGGGTCTCCGCTGGCCGCGGGGCAGGGACGCACATCTTCACGGCATCTCCATGGCCTCGCACAGCTCCTGGGTCCTGGCTCCTTTGAGGCCTGCAGCCCACTTCTGGGCAGGAGGCCATACCTGTGGCTCACCTGTCCTGATTTCTCGTCCAGCACTATGTCCTGGGCTGCCCTTGCAGGGCAGGGCTCTGACGGGGAGCTGGGGAGGGGCCTCCTGCTCCCTCACCCCCTGCTACCTCACCTCACCCTTCTCTGTCCTGGCCCAGCCTTGTCCCCTGGGCCCTGGGAGCCTGTCTCAGTATCATACAGGATCGTCCCTGGATGTCCCTAACTGACCTTGGCCTCTCCCCTTAGACGTGCTCGCTCCTCAGGTCTTCGGACGTGGAAGGGGCCACTGCCCATGTCTTCACTGGGATGAGGCCCTGGGCTCGTCCACCCCAAGGGTCTTTCCAAAATGAAAACCTGCTCCGCCCCCCACCCCCTGCTCAGAACCTGCTGTGGCTCCCCAGTGCCCTAGGGACAAAGCCCAGGTCCACAGCCACAACCAAAGAGGCTCTGCCTGGCCCCTGCCCACCTGGCCAGTCTCATGGAACATCCCTTCCAGGACCCTCTGCCTCACTCGTCCTGTCTCACTCATGCTCCACCCAGCATGCCCCTGCTTCCCTCTGCTCTATTTCATTGCCTGCTCAACAACTCCTCCTCCAGGGAGCCCTCCTGGTCTCCAGGCTGGGTCCAGTGGCCCCTGGGATCCCCGGTGCCAGCCCTGACCACCCAGGGTTTGTGTGCCCCCTGAGCTGCGAGCCCCGGGAGGGCAGGGCTGGGCTGTCCCCGCTGCACTCCGGTCACTCCTGGCAGCGGCCAGCACAGCGTGGGCTCAGAGCTTGTTTGTGGAACTGGACACCGGGGGCGGGTGACACAGAGACAGAGAGAGACAGAAGTCTCCAGAGAAGCCCAGGTTTCTGATGATCTGAGGAGTGTGACGAGCCGGGCTCCGGGAAACTTCCAGAAGAGCCGGCTTTTGTCCAGACGCTGCCATGGTGTCCCCACACGCATAGCCTCACTCGGACCCTTCCCCGTCTGCTGTTCTCACCCTTCTAATCTGCCCGTGTCCCCTCCCGGCCCCTCTGGTGCTCCTGGACACACGCCACTCCTGGGAGCAATCGAGGGCTGAATTTCTCGGGACCTACTATGTGCCAGGTCCCGGCCTGGGCCGAGAGGACACCAGGCGGTCATGGGGGGCTCTGCTTCTTTGTGAAGAGCGTGTGTGGTTTTGATGTTGACCTCCCGGGACTCTTTGGAGAGTGAGAGCAGGCGCCGGGAGGCCCAATGCAGGGCCTGTCCTGAGTGGCCCTGAGGACATGGGGGTCGTTGTTCACGCCATGTCTTTCCGCCAGTGTTTATTGAGCACCTACTGTGTGCCCGACACTGTGCTGGGTACCGGGGTTCTGACTGGGAACAGGACCCAGAGCTGACCTTTGGGGTGAGGTACAAATGCACGTGATGTCACGGGGGGGGGGCTGAGGTGTGTGGGGGGAGGTGGTTGGGAGGATCAGGATTATGTAGGGCAGCAAGAAGGTGCTGGAGGGGGAGACACTGGACACAGACCCGACATGGAGGTCGTGCCAGGCAGTGGGACCAGCAGGTGCAAAGGCCCCGAGGCAGGAGTACTTTGGAGCGTGCAAGGAAGTGGGAAGAGCCAGCGAAGCTGGAACTGAGTCGGCGAGGTGGAGAGGGGAACGGGGCAGGTCCCAGAGGCCCTTGTGGGCTGCCCGGAGGACAGGAGCCCTCAGGAGGGTTTTGCACAGAGGAGAGACGTGGGCTGACAGGTCAGAGGGTCTGGCTGTGTTTGGAGAGCAGCCCGTGGCGCCTGTGCGGCAGCCTAGCTGCGCCGTCCCTACGGGAGCTGCGAGTCACGAGCTTATCCAGATCGCGACAGCTGTAAGTGAAAACTCCACAGCAGGTAGCAAAGACTTAGATCGAACAAGGAGAATGTCAACGAGGCCGTCATCGGTGGGCCGATGCCCCGTGGGAGTGATACGATTTTGCATGTATTGTGCTAGACGCCTCTCATTAGTTTATTTTTACTTATCTTCTTGTAAACTCTTTTTTTTTTTTTTAAAGAATTGCTTATTTAATTGTATTTATTCATTCAATTATTTTTCATTTGACCAGAGAAAGACAGGCACACACAGAGAAGAAAAAAGCAAGCCACCAAGTCTGGAACTTGAACTGTGGTCGGCCATGTGGGAGTGCCCAGCGCCTTAACCATCATGCCACCTGCTGGTCCCCTCCCTATACACTCTTACGACATGTAGGTGACTGCGGCCTGTTTCCACTGGGCGGTGCTGGGTCTGGGTCGTGGCTGGACCAGCGGGTAGGCGCGTAGGACCAGAGGTCTATTTTGTTGATACTGTTATTCTTTTCTCTCTCTCTCTTTTAAAGAATTAGTCACTCTGTTGTATTTATCATTATTATTGCTATCTCTAATTTAATCAGAGAAAGAGAAAGAACATGAAAAGCAAGTCACCAGGTCTGGGACTCGAACTGCAGTCATCCATAGGCCAGTCCAGCACCCCAACCACCACGCCACCTGCTGGTCCCTCCTTTTTCTTTTTTCTCATGACAGAGGGCATGTGTGCATGTGTGCCCGAGAGAGGGGAGGAGAGAGAGGAGCACCATCCACGGGGTCCGGCCACGTACAGTCCTTCCCCAGCCCTCTAGTTCCCAGGATCTTGGGCGCTAGGCCGCATGCCGGGCGTGTTTCCAGGCTGACCTGGGGATTTGAACTGTAGCTGCCCATGTGACTCCAGCACTGCAGTCCAGCTTGCCACAGACTGTGCCACCCAGTGTGCTCACTGGAGAGAGACAGAGAGATAGAGAGAGAAACTGAGAAATCGCCCACCAGGGGAAGGCCACACTGTAATCCCTTCTCCTCCATTCTCCTCACATGATTTGGGCATGCACACATATGTGACCGGTGTGTTTTTCCAGCCACCAGGTCTGGGACTCAAACCATGCAGTCCACCATGTGGGATCCAGCTGCCTTAATCTCCATGTTACCTCCTGGCCCTAGGCTTCTTTAAAAAAAGAGAGAGAGAGAGAGAGAGAGAG